GTGGCTTGAGATACTGGCTATTGATATATTTATTATTTATTTATTTCACATATTTGTATCCCGTCCTTCTCACCCCTGGAGGGGGACTCAGGGCGGCTTCACAGCAGGCATTCATTCAATGCCGACAACAGATATAAATAATAACAACAATTAAAACAATTCATTAAAGCATTAAATTGCTAAAACATTTATTTAAAATCATGCAGGTTTAATAAAATATATTCTATTTTTGTGTGCATTTGACATATTGTGCTACCTTGTATTATTACTAGAAGTGACCAAATTTTCTGTGGGAGTCTGCTTAGGAGTACCAAATGCCTACTTCCACGTAGGCCCAGCCAGTGTGGCAAGGGACTGTCAAAGTAGTATTTCATCAGCACCTAGGAGGCCATAGGTTTTTCATCCTTGGTTTGGTAGGATACATAGGTGTGTTGATGGTTTTAGCCTGTGGGTGGCAGCTGTGGCCCTCCTGATGATTGTATTTACAATTCCTATCAGCTCAAATTGTGAAATTTAATGTGGAGGGAATAAGTGGGCTGTTGGCCAAAAGCATTTGAAGAGTGGCTCATGCCTGGCCATGGCATATTAAGTTGAAGCTGGAATACCATATGCTTCAACAGTCCTTATTTGACAGGAACAATGCCAATTAATCTCATATCTGGCCACTTTTTCAAAACCTCTTGCCTGCTCCTCCCACCTTCTGTCTTTATTTATTATTTATTTATTTACAGTATTTTTATTCTGCCCTTCTCACCCTGCAGGGCACTCTGGGCAGATTACAATGCACATATACATGGCAAACATTCAATGCCATTTAGACATACAACATATATAGACAGAGTCAATTTAACATTCAAGCTTTCTGGCTTCATGAGGGTATGCTTGGTTCCGGCCACAGGGGGAGCTGCTGCTTCACCATCCATTTATGACACTGAATCCTTGATGGAATACTTCCTCATTCTTATGCACGCTGCTGGAAGGTTTTATGGTGTTGTGAATTAGTTAAATTAGCCTCCCCACATAACATGATACCTAAATTTCCTACTTGACAGATGCAACTGTCTTTTGGGCTACATAGATCGACAGCAACCTAGACTATTAATGGTCAGGAGCTTACTCCGACCCAGTCTGGCTTCGAACTTGGTCAGTAGTGATTTAATGCAGTTGGCTACTAACAAGCTGTGCCACAGCCCGGTCCTTTGCACTCAGCTTACTTCAATTGCTGTGTATACACTGTAGAGCAGTAGTTCCAAACCTCTTTTTGACCAGGGACCACTTGGACCAAGGACCACGCTCCAACATTAGTATCAAAAGGGTTATGAATCAGTTTTTGGTCAACTTTAAATTTGGTTTGCTTATTTGAGGTGTTGATTCACAAAATTGCATTGCATAGACCACATCAGCTGTAGTTTCTGATAAAGAACATATGCCATCCAGCAGTTGCCATCTACTTGCCCACAGAATATCGTATTTTATAAGTCTCAGCACTATAAGAGGGTTTCGCGAGACCAGTCACTCTCGTTGCAAGAGTGTAACGGTGAGGCCATGGACCATATTTTATTTCTTGCAGACCACTGGTAGTCCACAATCCACAGGTTGGGAACCACTGCTGTAGAGTTTAATGCTCTTATGCTGCTTTGCTATGTCATCAGGTTTTGTTGGTGAAATGTTGGAGAGAAAATAACTGTCACATGCTTTCGCAGTCATTTCCGTTGGCAAGGTTTATCAGAGGGGGCTTGCCTTTGCCTTACTCTGAGGCAGAGAGTGGGCCTTGTCTAAGGTCACCAGTGGGGATCTGAATCCTGCCCTGGTGGGGATTTCAGGGGCTTGAACTCCAAAGTGTAGCCTAGTTCTCAATCCATCACCCCAGACTAGTTTCCTTAGGAAAGAATACAGACAAAATGGAAGTTACATTTCATTGCAGCTGGTACAGTTTACCTCCAAATAAAAATGGTACAGGCTACATTAAATTTAAGAGATTTTAAGGGTGGGAAGAAGGTGTGTGTATTTGTGCTTTTAGAGGGGTATCCACATTGGAAAATGAATGTACTTTGAGGTGTTGTGTGGTTTTTGGGCTGCAGAGCCATGGTGGCGCAATGGGTTAAACCCTTGTGCTGTTAAACTGTTGACCTGAAGGTCGGCAGTTCAAATCCGCAAAACAGGGTGAGCTCATGTCTATCAGCTCCAGCTCCTACCAACCTAGCACTTCAAAAACATGCAAATGTGAATAGATGAATAGGTACCGCTTTGGCGGGAAAAGGCAAAGAGACACTCCAAGCAATCTTGCCGGTCACACAACCAGGAGATGACAATGCAGGCTCCTCAGCTTGAAAATGGAGAAAGCACCTCCCCAGAGCCAGATATGAGCACTGCCTCCAGAAGCCGGAAATGAAAAGAGAAGCCTCTGCCTTTGTTTGTGTTTGTGTGTCTCATTGTAAAGGTAAAGGTTTCTTTAAAAAGTTTAAGTCTATTCATGTCAGACTCGGGGGGGGGGGGGGGCTGGTGTTCACCTCCATTTCTAAGCTGAAGAACCAGCGATGTCCATAGATGCCTCCAAGGTCATGTGGCTGGCATGACTGCATGGAATGCTGTTACTTTCCAGTGGAAGCGGTACCTATTGATTTACTCACATTTGATTGTTTTTGAAATGCTAGGTTGGCAGAAGCTGGGCCTAACAGTGGGAGCTCACCCCACTCCTCGATTTCGAACCACCAACCTTTCGATCAGCAAGTTCAGCAGCACAGTGGTTTAACCCACTGTACCACTGGGGGGCTCCTATGTCTCATTGTATATGATTGTAAAGGCCTGTGTATGTAGGTGCTGTGATCTGCTCTAAGTCCTGTAGGGGAGAAAGGCCAAATATAAATAAAGTGTATTATTACTATTCTTATTCTAGCCTGCATCTGTGGCTGACATCTTCAGATGGTTCACTCTTAAGTGCCATGGCTCAATGTTCTTTTGGTGAGGCACCAACACTATTTGACAGAGAAAGCAAACTGCCTCATAAAATGGTTAGGCTTCAGCATCGTTTGGCAGAGAAGGCACTTGAACGGTCATGGCTCAATGCAATGGGATCCTAGGATGTCGTTTTACAAGGCCTTCACCTTGTAAAACTACAGTTCCCAGGATTGCATAGCATTGAACTGTGACAATGAAAGCAGTGCCAAACTGCCTTAATTCTACAGCGGGGATGCACTCAACCACTGACTCCAGGGACTTGTTTGTCTGGGTTGCTGTGAGTTTTCTGGGCTCTATAGCCATGTCCCAGAAGCATTCTCTCCTGACGTTTCACTCACATCTATGGCAGGCATCCTCAGAGGTTGTGAGGTCTGTTGGAAACTAGGAAAATGGGGTTTATATGTCTGTGGAATAATGTCCAGGGTGGGAGAAAGAACCCGTCTGCTTGAATGTTGCAATTGATCACCTTGATTAGCACTGAATAATCTTGCAGCTTCATGGTTGGGCTTCTTACTGCCTGGGGGAATCCTTTGTTGGGTGATGTTAACTGGTCTTGATTGTTTCTTGCAGAAAGGCTACAGATCTTAGGGTTGTAAGGCAGTCCATCCAGTTGATTCTCAACCTCTGAGGATGCCTGCCCTAGATGTGGGTGAAACGTCAGGAGAGAATGCTTCTGGGACACGGCCATACAGCCCAAATAGAAGCATTCTCTCCTGATTTTTGCCCACATCTAGAGCAGGCATCCTCAAAGATTGATCCTCAGCCTCTGAGGATGTCTGTCATAGATGAGGATGAAAAGTCAGGAGAGAATGCTTCTGGGACATGTCCATACAGGCGGGATAGAAGCATTCTCTCCTGACCTTTCGCCCACATTTAGGGCAGGCATCCTCAGAGATTGATCCTTAGACTCTGAAGATGCCTGCCCTAGATGCAGGAGAGAATGCTTCTGGGACATGGCCATACAGTCCGGAAAACTCACAGCAACCCAGTGATTCTGGGCCATGGAAGTCTTCGACAAGACTTGTTGGTCCGTTTCGAAAGGCGCTCAGTGATAGTTTTGCTGCTGGCCGAGCGCCCCCTAGCGGGCTAGGAGGGAAAAACCAGGGTTTGCGCCTGCAATGAATGTACCGGTGGTTTTGCCGAGTGAGACTTTTCCCAAGCTCTCCCTCTGGCTCTTTCTCTCCCTTTTGGGGTTTTCAAGAGGCAGGACCCGTCCTTGGGTTGCCTCCGGCCCAATCCCGTGCGAAGGCGGCGTTGATTCTGAGTCCTATCGCGAGTCCCTTGCTGCCCTCTCTGGATTCCCACGCCACCCGAGAAAAGAAGGCTTGGAACCTGCGCGAGGAGGAGGAGGCACTCCATGCGTGAAACCACAACTCTCAGGGTCCGGCAGCACTCACTCAGCCACGGCGGCAGCTCAAGGGATTCCACCGCGTCGGGGCTTCTCTCTCTGTGTCCACAGTGGGCAGGGTTCAAGCCAAGCGCTTCCCTTCTTCTCTTCCTCCCAAGGGTTGTGTTGGCAAAGGCGCGCCTTCTCCCTCGCCCCGCGTGGAAAGGAAGCACCACACAACCAAGCCTCCAGGCGCCTCGGAGGAGGACCACCACTCTGGGATGGAAACAGGGACCCCAAAAAGAAACCCCCCAAAGCAAGCAGAACAACTGGCCGAGGAAGGAACAAAAGGATTCCGGCAGACTGAAAAGGAGCTGAAAGACTCTGCCATGCTTTCTGCCAAGTAGGCGCTGCCTGGCTCTCTCCCCTTTCTCCCCAAAGCCGGAGCGCCCACGCGTGTCCCTCCATCCCGAGGCTGGTCTGTGGCCGGAGTGGAAGCTGCGCCTCCTGCGAGGKGTCTGGCTGGCACCAGGAGGGCTCCCGTTCTCTCTCTTTCCTTCCTTCCTTCCTTCCTTCCTTCCTTCCTTCCTTCCTTCCTTCCTTCCTTCCCTCTTTCTTTCTCCCCCCCCCCCTCGGTCTCTTCCCCTTCTTTTCCTTCCTTCCTTCCTTTCCTTCTCTTCTTACTCCCCTTCCTTCTTCCTTCCTTCCTTTCCTTTCCTTCCCTTCCCGTCTTTYATTCTTTTCTTTAGTTTTCTTTCCTTTCTCTTCCTTCGTTGCTTCCTTCCTTTCCTCCSCTTCTCTTCCTTTCTATCTTCCCTCATTCCTTCCTTCCCTTCCTCCTTTCCTTCTCATCTCTTCCTTTCTACCTTCTTTCCCTTCTCTTCCTTTCCTTCTTGCCTTCCTTTCATTCCTTCCCTTCCTTTCAGTCCTTCCTTCCCTTCCTCCTCTCCCTTCTTCCCTTCCCTTCTCATACTTTCTACCTTCCTTCCCTTCCTTTCCTCCTTCCCTTCCTTCCCTCCCTTCTTTCCTTTCCTYCTTTTCCTTTCTACCTTCCTTCCTTTCCTTCCCTCGTTCCTTCTCTCCCTTCCTTCCCTTTTTCCTTTCCTTGCCTTTCCTTTGCCTTCCTTCCTTCCTTCCTTCTTTTCCCTCCTCCTTCYTGGGTCTCCTCCCCTCCGGATGAAGAAGGCGAGGAAGAAAAGGGGGCTGGGGCGTTTCTGATAGGGCGGCGGGGAGGGAAAGAGGGCGAGGAGGGGAGAAGAGGGAAAAGAAGGAGGGAAACCAGGAGGAGGAGGAGGAGGAGGAGGAGGAGTGACTCCGGACCCAAGTGGGCGCCAGGCGCTCCTCCTGCTCCTGCTGCTGCCTCTGCCACAAGCGGCTCCTGGGATCACTGGGTGTGGGGGCGCTTTCGGCGAGGCTTTCTCCTTCTTTCCTTCCCTCCTCCTTGGGCTTCTCTTGACATCCTTGGCGAGCCTCTCTCTCCTTTCGGATAATCCTCCTTCCAGCGCGTGTGAACGTTTTGCAACCCGCCCGCGGATTCCGCCAAGATGGGGGTAAGTCCGAAAGGCGCCGGAGCCTTTCTGCTTTTCTCTCCCTCTTTAGAAAAGTTGCAAAGTTTGGGAACTTGGGTTTTGGGGGGTTGGAAGAGGAGGAGGAGGAGGAGGAGGAAGGCAAGGCTGGCTCTGCCTTGAGCGGGAGGCGCGAAGGAAGGGGCTTTTGTTGGCGCTTGCAAGAGGGGCTGAGAGGAAGGAGGAGGAAAGAAAGGTCCGCTTTCCCCTTCCTCACCCTGTCTTTTGGAGGGTTCATGCCCTCCTCCTTTCCACTACCCTATCCTCTTCAGGGTGGTGTGTTTTGGGGGAATTTGGGGAGACAAAGGTGGGTCGAAACTCCACCCAGAAGCCTGGGAGGTTTGTGGTCCCAGTTTCCATCTCCCCGCCTTGGATCCCTGGTTCTATTCTTGTCTTAAGGAGCAATTGGAGGGAAGCGAAAGGTATTGGTATTTCTCCCTCTTTCCCTTCTCCATTCTCCCTCTCTTTTTGTTCCGATGGGAAGTAATGTGCCTTTGTGGTCGGGGTGGCCCATTCACTTTCTGCTCACGTCCTGATGGAGATCAAAAGCGGAGGGGAGAGAGAGGGGAGAGGGGAGAAGAAGAAGAAGAAGAAGAGGAAGGCGCTTGCTTGCTTGCTTGACTCTCTGGTTGCAAGCATTGGGGGGAACCCAGAGGGGAGAGGAAAGAGAAAGAGATGGAGAGATGGAGAGAGGGGCAAAGAAAGGAAGGAAGGAAGAAAAAGCACCACTTCCAGGCCAGACCCGCGCCTCTCTTCTCTGCCTTATCAGGAGACAAGGTGCACAAAGAAAAGTTCCCCTTTTCCAGCTCTTCTTCTTTCCTTCCACTTGCTGCATTGTTGGGTCGCTTTGTGTAGGTCTCTCTTCATAACAAGTGTCTGAGAAAGAGCCTGGCAGTGTTTTGGTTCCAGGGCTGCATCAAAACACATTGCTCTCACTCTCTTCCCCAGATTTGGAGGGCTAGGGGGAAAGACTGGGGGAAAGGGAGGTCCATGGATTGAATGGCCAGCTCCTGCGGTGCTGTGAGTTTTCCACGCTGTATGGCCATGTTCCAGAAGCATTCTCTCCTGACGTTTCACCCACATCTATTTCAGGCATCCTCAGTTTTGTGGGGTCTGTTGGAAACTAGGCAAGTGGGGTTTATATATCTATGGAATATCCAGGATGGGAGAAAGAACTCTTGTCAGTGTTGTTGTGAGTTTTCCATCCATGTTCCAGAAGCATTCTCTCCTGACACTTCGCCCACATCTTTTTCAGGCACCCTCAGTTTTGTGGGGTCTGTTGGAAACTAGGCAAGTGAGGTTTATATATCTATGGAATGTCCAAGGTGGGGGAAAGAACTCATGTCTGTGTTATTGTGAGTTTTCCCAGCTGTTCGGTTATGTTCCAGGAGCATTCTCTCCTGACGTTTTGCCCACATCTATTTCAGGCATCCTCAGAGGTTTTGTGAGGTATGTTGGAAACTAGGCAAGTGAGGTTTATGTATCTGTGGAATGTCCAGAGGGGTAATAAGTTTTCCGGGCTGTGTTGCCATGTTTCAGAAGCATTCTCTCCTGACATTTTGCCCACATATATTTCAGGCATACTCAGAGGTTTTTTGAGGTCTGTTGGAAACTAGGCAAGTGAGGTTTATATATCTGTGAAATGTCCAAGGTGGAAGAAGGAACTCTTGCCCATGTTGTTGAGAGTTTTCCGGCCTGTATGGCCATGTTGCAGAAGCATTCTCCCCTGATGTTTCACCTGCATCTATGGCACGCACCCTCAGAGGTTGTGATATATAACGCCCCATTTTCCTAGTTTCCAACAGACTTTACAAAACCTCTGAGGATGCCTGCCATAGATTTGGGCAAAACATCAGGAGAGAATGCTTCAGGAACATGGCCATACAGCTTGGAAAACTCACAGCAACCCAGTGATTCCGACCATGAAAGCCTTTGACAGTACAACTCTTTCTGCTTGAGGCAGGTGTGAGTGTTGCAATTGGCCACATTGACTAGCATTGAATAGCCTTGCAGCTTCAAAGCTTGGCTGCTTCCTGCCTGGGGGAATCATTTGTTGGGAGGTGATTAGCTGGCTCTGATTGATTCTCGTCTGGAATTCCCTTGCTATTTGAGTCTTGCTCATTATTTACTGTCCTGATTTTAGAGTTTTAGAGAAAACTGTTCCTGCTTTCCCCACCTCCCTTCAGTTTCAGAGCATGTGGCATATTTCAGCATTCGATTTCTCCTTAATGTACTTTCTTTGAGGGTGAAATCAGACCTCTCTGCTCCAAATAATTATGCTTATTCCTCACCTTTTGAAAATATTTTTCCCTCCAGTTCTACTTTTAAATAGACACCCCTCTCTCTCACTTTCACCGCACGAAATGTATTGAGCTGCAGGCAGAAAATCTATTTGAGTGAGCCTGAAGTTTGTGCAGAGGGTATGATGGCAGAGACTCTCTCCCTAAGGTCTGGTTAGAGAATTGAGTTGAGGAAGAGCATTTTTTTTGTAAGAGAAGGGCTAGAGTGGGTTGTTGGGAGTTTTCCAAGCTGTATGGCCATGTTCCAGAAGCATTCTCTCCTGACGTTTTGTCTGCATCTACGACAGGCATCCTCAGAGGTCATGAGGTCTGTTGGAAACTAGGCAAGTGAGGTTTATATATCTGTGGAAAGTCCAGGGTGGGAGAAAGAACTCTTGTATGCTTGAGGCAAGTGTGAATGTTGCAATTGGCCACCTTGATTAGCACTGAATAGCCTTGCAGCTTCAAGGTCTGGCTTCCAATTGCCTGGGGGAATCCTTTGTTGGGAGGTGTTAACTGGCCCTGATAGTTTTCAGTTGATGAGATGCGGCTGCTGACATTGTTCTGCAAGACTTGCTTTCCTGTCTGGCCTGTGAGGCAACATCAACAAAAAAGAATATTCCGCTCGCAAGTTGCAGAGAGAGAAAGTGAGGTGGGTGGTGGGGAACTTTGCTGGTATTTAAGTAAAATTATTCAGGGTTTTAAAATAGCTGCTGCTTTTTGCTTGAATCGTGCATGCGTGCGTGCGTGTCGTTCCTTCTGACTAAAACTTTTCCCTCCTCTTTCAGATTGGCTTGTATGATTAATAGGCTCTGCAGTGTGAAATGGATTGCTTGGAAGGGGCATGTTTAGCCTCCAAGCCTGCTTTGGGAAGAGGAGGGAAGGGAGAAGGTTAGAACAGCCTGGGTATGTTGGTGAGTCACGATCCTAAGGAATTCTTCCTGCTTTGAGTAAGATCCAGGAAGATAAGTGTCGTATTGGCCACGACAGTTGTTTCTCCATCCCACACAGTTGTGTTCAGAAGTGACAGTTTCTCCTGGTTTGTATAACGCTCCGTTTTGTTAAGGGGTTGCCCTTTATTCTAAAATGTGACAGCAGATCTAGAACATGGTATCTCCTAGTTCAAAAACATGCTTCTGTGTCATCAAGTAACTCCATATGGACTATATCTTTTGATTTTTCTATTCCAAGCCATTTCTTTTCATGCGTTTGTGTATTTAATCCTTGCTACAAATAATTTCTGAGCCCCCTGGTGGCACAGTGGATTAAACCGCTGAGCTGGTGAACTTGCTGACTAAAAGGTCAGCGGTTTGAATCCAGGGAGTGGGGTGAGCTTCCACTGTTAGTCCCAGCTTCTGCCAACCTAGCAGTTTGAAAACATGCAAATGTGAGTAGATCAATAGGTACCGCTTCTGCAGGAAGGTAACGCCGCTCCATTCAGTCATGCTGGCCACATGACCTTGGAGGTGTCTATGGACAACGCCAGCTCTTTGGCTTAGAAATGGAGATGAGCACCACCCCCCGGTCTCGGACACGACTAGAATTAATGTCAGATTAATTAATGTTACCTTTATCTTACAAGTCATTTCTTGTACATTCAATGGGTGTTCTGGCGATATCAATAGCTTCCATATATAGGAAACCTGATGATTGTACAGCAGGTTTGTGTCACTTTACCCAAATAGGATGAGAATCTTTCTGTATGCTTTTTCTTAGTCTCTCTCTCTCCTCCTTTTTTAAAAACACTCTTAGAACTGTCTGTCACTATGGCTGAAAGGACATAAGGCTGGGAGACTCGAAGCGAGTTTTCTCTTTTGATGTTTATAGCAGTGATGTGTGTGGGTGCTCTAAATGTTAACTGGGAGTGAAACTACCTTCTGGCATACAGTTGTTTATCCACCCATCCATTAGCTGAGAGTGTAGTGTGCCTTGGCGGATTTTCTTCCTTGTGTTTGTATTTTTGGACAAGAGTCCTCAGTGCAATGGGTTAAACCCTTATGCCAGCAGGACTGCTGACCGACAGGTCAGTGGTTCAAATCAGGGAAGAACGGGTTGAGCTTCCTCTGTCAGCTTCAGCTCCCCAGGAGAGGACATAAGACAAGCCCCCGACAAGGATGGTAAAACATGAAACATCCGGGCATCCCCTGGGCAATGTCTCTGCAGACAGTCAATTCTCTCACACCAGAAGTGACTTGCAATTTTGCAAGTTGTTTCTGACATGAAAAAAAAAAATAATATCCCATATTTTCTTTTTCTTGATTGTTGTTTTTGTTAAGGGGACCTTTCACTTGTGAGATTGATTGTAGTTAGTCAGATTCTGAGGAAATTTGAACAGTTCTTGGTTGTTTTGATGTGAAAGGAATATTTATTTATTTATTGTGTCAGAAGTGAATTGAGGGTACAGTTACAATGTATTTAGAAACACAAACAAAGTAAAAAAAAAACCCTTGGCATTATATTAAATGTCTTTTGACCAGAAGCTGGCCACTTGGAGTGCCTCTGATATCGCTGTGAGAAGGTCCTCCATTGTGCATTGTAGTAGGTGGTCTGTGAAGGTAATGAGGCATGGGGAAAGAACAAGGATAAACAACGAAATGACTTTATTCCAGTATATCCTATATTGTGATGCTCAAACTCTTGGGGTGCACAGCATGTGTTAACATTAGCAGGTGGAGAAAGTCTTCTAGTAGGAAAGCTAGTGCAGTA